AAGGGCTGGAATTTGCTGCTTCTCCCCCAAGGCAGGGCCTTTCTTATCAGCACTTTTGGTACCTGGAAACCCAATCATTATTTGATGGGTGGTGGCAAGCTTGTGCGTGCACATTTTCTGCCACTGCTCCTTCTGCCTGGCCCAGGCTAGAGAGTCCTAATGCTGCCAGGCCCTGCCTTCCCATCCCCAAATCAGGACCAAAGTGCAACTGGGGATCATGGGTTGGGGTGCTCAGGTCACCCTTCTCTGTTATTTTCGCTGGGCTGGGCCAACGCCAGACCCCGCCTCCAGGGTTGGGGTGGAAAGGGACTGGTGGTGCTTAAAAAGGAAGGGGACCAATGTAGCAACTTGCCAGGAACCCCACCCTCTCTTTTCTGGGTCTGTGCAATGGGTATGGGGATTCCCACCAAGGGCCAGAGGCCTGGGTTAGTCTAGTAGCTGCTACTCACCTGGCCATGTGCACGTTCCCTAGATGCAGACTGCTTTTAACTTTACAGCTGTACAATTTGGTTATGTTTGTGCCGGTTTAAAAAAATATTTTAATGAAGAAAATGGCGACCCCCGGGAAGGACGTGGTTCCTTTGCTCCTCGGGGACATGTAAGACCTCGCATTCTGGGAATCACTCTCAGCTCTTCTTTTTCCTGGAAGCTAAACCTGTCCACGCCACCCGAGGCCTGCGCCTGGATACTACAGGTGACTCCGGCCTCGACTCGCGCAGTTGCATTTCCTTGGACCTTGCGTGTAAGGGAGGGGTGCCCGGGCCGAGCCCGCCCCTTTCTGTACACCCAGCGCTGCCCACCCCGCTTGTGTCTGAGGTCGTATATGTCAAAATAAAGCCGCTAGAAATTGTAGCTTGTCCGTATCTTTCTGAAAACTTAGCAGCTCCAGGGTGAATCCACCCAGCCCAGCACCGCCTACGACTTCCAACCGCGTCATCCACTCCTCCTCCCAGGGTCGGAGCGCAGGGGGCGGGGCCCTGGACAGCAAAGCTTGGCCACAAGCGTCTACCCTGCAGCCAATCTAGCTCCCGTAGGGAGTGAGGCCTCGCCCTTGGCGCCAGTTCCGCATTCGGTTCCGCCAATAGACAGGTGACCCGCGAGGCTCTTTCGGGTCCCCATAGCAGCCTGGCGCACTCAGGCTCTCATTGGTTACGTCTTTGGTAGTGCCGCGCCCAGCGCTCTGACGCTGGCGGCCGTGCCACGTAGACAGCAGCTGATTGGCCCGCTGGGGTCACGTCATTGCCCGCGCCTAGTGCGGTCCGAGTACTCTGCCAGCCGCCCACCGCCCGCTAGGTAACGTGTGTTCTTGCGGCCGGGTGCCGGCGTTAGGTTAGGCCAGGCGAACAAATTGAAACCAGAGTTGGTCAGTCTGACTGGTGAAGGGCGTGGGGCAGGACACAGCGGGTGTAGTTCTGGCCAGGCGGGGTGCAGGCACCTTGGAGCCTAGGATTGACTCCCGTCGCCCACAGGCGAGATGAAGGCACTGATCTTGGTAGGCGGCTATGGTACGCGGCTGAGGCCACTAACGCTGAGTACTCCGAAGCCGCTGGTAGACTTCTGCAATAAGCCCATACTGCTGCATCAAGTGGAGGCCCTTGCTGCGGTAAGGCCCGGGGTCTGTCCTGGGCGGACGAGGGACGTCTAGCGACTGAAGGTCAGGGGTGCCCGTACCTACCGGCTGAGCCCGCCTGTTCGCTGGCTTTATCCTGTCCGACAGGCAGGTGTGGATCACGTGATCCTGGCTGTGAGCTACATGTCGCAGGTGCTGGAGAAAGAAATGAAGACACAGGAGCAGAGGGTGAGGCACGGACTCGTAGCCGGTTCCGTTGGTCCACCTTCCTGCTCTGGAGGGAGAACCTGACGAGGTGACTTCTCCTTTCCAGCTGGGAATCCGAATCTCCATGTCTCATGAAGAGGAGCCTTTGGGGACAGGTCAGTGGATACAAGAAGGTTCCTTGGGGAGGGTTTGCATCCAGAAGAGGGTGGTACCTGCTGAGCCTGAATTCAGGAATTCAGATCCCCAGCAAGGCCGTGATCTGCTCCCTTCTCCCAGCTGGGCCCCTGGCATTGGCCCGTGACCTGCTCTCTGAGACTGCAGACCCTTTCTTCGTCCTCAACAGCGACGTGATCTGTGATTTCCCCTTCCAAGCCATGGTGCAATTCCATCAGCACCATGGTCAGGAGGGCTCCATCCTGGTAAGAGACCAGGTCTTCCTTCTCCTTTGACATTCCCTGCAACATCCCAGCCCAGCTTCCCTTGCCCCTCCCCCTTTGATCTTTATCCTTATAAGAGCACAGCTAAGCAGTATCTTCTAAGTATTTGGGACAGAATCCCTGAAACTTGGGACAGCATATGTGTAAAGGTTTAGGAACACTGGACTAGGCCTAAGTCCCCCTGTATTCAGGTGACCAAGGTGGAGGAGCCTTCTAAGTACGGTGTGGTGGTATGTGAGGCTGACACGGGCCGCATTCACCGGTTTGTGGAGAAGCCACAGGTATTTGTGTCCAATAAGATCAACGCAGGCATGTACATCCTGAGCCCTGCAGTGCTGCAACGCATCCAGGTGTGTAGAAGACAGCTGCTGGGTGGGCTAGGGTGGGACAGGCCATTACTACCATGACCCTGCTTACAAGCTGCCCACTCCCACAGCTGCAGCCTACGTCCATTGAAAAGGAGGTCTTCCCCATTATGGCCAAGGAGGGGCAGCTATATGCCATGGAGCTGCAGGGTGAGGCAGAGAGGTCATGGGTGGGGGTGGTCTGTGGCTGGGCTGAGCCCCTGATGCATCCCTCCCTACAGGCTTCTGGATGGATATCGGTCAGCCCAAGGATTTCCTCACTGGCATGTGTCTCTTCCTTCAGTCACTGAGGCAGAAGCAACCTGAGCGATTATGCTCAGGCCCTGGCATTGTGGGCAATGTTCTTGTGGTGAGGCCTTTGTCCAGACCGTCATTAATCCCTTCAGTCCATAGGGGACAAATGGCCCAACTGTATTTTCCCCATTGCTCTCAGGATCCAAGTGCCCGTATTGGCCAGAACTGCAGCATTGGTCCCAATGTGAGCCTGGGTCCTGGTGTGGTGGTGGAGGATGGCGTGTGCATCCGGCGGTGCACAGTGCTGCGGGATGCCCACATACGTTCCCATTCCTGGCTTGAGTCATGCATCGTGGGCTGGCGCTGCCGTGTGGGCCAGTGGGTAAGCCAATGGGCTGGGCCAGATGGGGAGAGGGCCAGAAAATGCATCTGCCTCACTGACAAGGTCTTATCCCCCCTCACCCAGGTGCGTATGGAGAATGTAACTGTGCTGGGCGAGGATGTTATAGTTAACGACGAGCTCTACCTCAACGGAGCCAGTGTGCTGCCCCACAAGTCTATTGGTGAATCAGTGCCAGAGCCTCGTATCATTATGTGAGGGGATGCCTGGGGCTGGCCGAACCCCTATTTCCCCATCAGCAAGAGGAGCACTGGCTTGACACACAAAAGGCCCTGGACTTGGTGCTATTTGTCTGGGGAGGACTGGATGAGGATGAAGCTTCTGAACACCTGCCTTCTCACTTGGACATAAAGTAGCAGAATCCCTGCTGGGCCACACCCTACAAACCCCATTCCCTTAAAAAGGGCCAGGCCAGGGCTGTATGGAATAATAATTTAATGTTTACTGTGGCCCTGATTGAAAGTCAAGCCCAGACCTTATTAGGGCCACGGCCAGGCTCTTACCAATGGGGCTACACATAGACAAAGAGGTTGGATGTGGTTTTGGGTGATAGGGAACAGGGCAAGGGAAGCTCATAAATAGGTCTCTGCCTGGGTCTGGGTTTGCAGGTGGAGGTTTGGCAGGCCTAGGCAGCTGAGGAGGTGGTGCTTGTATTAGCTGCCTTGTCCCAGTCCTCTACAGACACGATGGTGGCTTTGCAGAAGAAGCAATCCTTATTGTTCATCAGGTGCTGGTTGATGCAGGCTCTGCAAAGGGGAGGGGATAAAGACTGTCTTGGATGTTCCTACTGCCCCTTCCCAAAGCCCATGGGGCCCCACTTACTTGCAGGACTTGTGTCCACAGGGCTGGAACACAGCAGAGATGGGGTGGGCATAACAGATTGGGCAGAGATCTTCCTCACTGGTGGGCTGTAGGGAGGGAAGTGAAGGGTGGTTGGATATGCTATGCTTATATTGGTGTGCACACATGTATTCAAGTAGCATGGGATGTGCTGTGGTCCCACTCACCAGGGATGCAGCTGCTGCCTGGGCAGATGCAAAGGTCAGATGTGTCAGCATCTGTTCCACTTGTGCCAGCTCCTCAGCATTGATATAATCAGTATCTGGGATAGTGGTAGGTGTGTCAGGCCAGATGTAGCCTAGAATCTGGTGCCTTTTGAATATTCCCAGGCTGGAGATTTGCTGTTCTTGGAGGTCCTGACTTCAGAGAGTCCCAGATCTTTTTTCCCTTAACCACCCCTGGCCCACTTACAGCTCTGCAGGGAGAAGCGCTTCCGGTCTGGGGCAGGCAGGACAGTGCCAGGTGCTGGAGGCTCTGGCTGCCCCAAAAGATAGCATATGGATCGCAGCTGGAAGCAGGGGTCAGCCAAAAGCACTGATGTAGCTCTCTCTGTCCTAGGTAGGGAAGGGTATATAGTGTAATCGGAACACTGGGGGACTCCTGGGGTTGTGTGACCGTCCAAACCTAATTGCATTAATGCCTTTATTTCCACCTCCCAGCTGCAACCTTCTTCTAAGTCCTGGGGGGTCTCAGTGAAATCACATGCAGCCCAGGTACCAGTTTTGTGGGCTACCATAAAACACCTAAAGTCCACGTGCCCCATGATACAATAATCCTTCAAATAAAGAACATTAGGAGCAGTTTACCATTCTCCCCTGGCTGCCCCTTTTACTCTTCTGGTTTGTTGGCTAAGGGAAGGCTGGGTATTGGAAGTGAATTCGTACACCCCCTGGTGGCCGTAGGGGTTCTTAAGCGGCAGGGGATGTGATTTCCCCGCCCCTTGCAGCGGGAGCCAATAGAAACCCGATGCCCCGCCCCCTGGGCCGGCTTCTCTAAGCGACTATTTAGAAGTCGACCAGGAAAGCCCTGGGAGAAAGCAACGGGAGACAGAGCTGACTGCAGCGTCCATCTGAGCTGAGTAAAGCCAGCATTGAGCCTCCTCGGCCGTGGACCATCCGGCACCACGCTTGTTGGGCCAGAACAAGAGTGGGTGAGTCCTGGATTTGTGACCCGCACAAGGCTGCCCTCATTCTTGATGGTTGCTGCCATGGCCTGTCTAGGGCTGCTGGGTGCCCTGCTGTGCATGCTGCCGGTCGCCACGTTAGGCAACCGAGACTCTGAGGGCTTTCTGCCCGCTGTGCCCCACAACTGCCCCAGCAAATGTGTCTGTGCTGCTGATCTGCTGATCTGCGCAGGCCTGGGGTTGCAGGACGTGCCAGCCACGTTACCTGCAGCTGCTGCTGAACTCGACCTGAGCCACAACGCACTCCAGCGCCTGCGCCCCGGTTGGCTGGCACCTCTCTCCCGGCTGCACGCCCTGCGCCTAGGCCACAATGAACTGGATGCATTGGGTCACGGAGTCTTCAATAATGCCAGCAGCCTAAAACTCCTTGACCTATCATCTAATGCATTGCGGGCACTTGGCCCTCACGACCTTGATGGACTTGAGGCACTGGAGATGCTGTTTCTGTTCAATAACCGCCTGGCACACTTGGATGAGCATGCCTTCCACAGCCTGAGTGCACTCAGCCGCCTCTATCTGGGCTGCAACGAACTCATGACCTTCTCTTTCAACCACTTGCACGGTCTGGGTGCGATCCACCTGCGCACCCTGGACCTCTCCTCCAACCGGCTGGGACGTGTCTCTGTCCCTGAGCTGGCCGCACTGCCAGTCTTCCTCAAGAATGGCCTCTACTTGCATAATAACCCGTTGCCCTGCAACTGCCGACTCTACCACCTGCTGCAGCGCTGGCACCAGCGGGGCCTAAGTGCGGTGCGAGACTTTGCACGTGAGTACACGTGCCTGGCCTTTAAGGTACCCACATCCCGCGTGCGCTTCTTTGAGCACAGCCGTGTCTTTGAGAACTGCTCAGCTGCCCCAGCTACCAGCCTAGAGCAGCCTGAAGAGCAGCTGCACGCACAGGTGGGTCGGTCCCTGAGGCTTTACTGCAACACCAGCGCCCCAGCTGTGCACATTGCCTGGGTTTCACCTAAGCACGAACTGCTTGTAGCACCAGGATCCCGAGATGGCAGCATTGCAGTGCTGGCGGATGGCAGCTTAGCTATAGGCAAAGTGCAGGAGCAGCATGCTGGTGTCTTCGTGTGCCTGGCCACTGGGCCCCGCCTGCACCACAACCAGACATTTGAGTACAATGTGAGTGTGCACTTCCCACACCTGGAGCCTGAGGCTTTCAACACAGGCTTCACCACACTACTGGGCTGCGCAGTGGGCCTGGTACTGGTGCTGCTGTACTTGTTTGCACCACCCTGCCATGGTTGCTTCCGGTGCTGTCACCAAGCCTGTCGAAGTCACCACTGGACCCGGGCACCCAGTTCACTCCAGGAGCTGAGTGCACAATCCTCAGTGCTCAGTGCCACGCCACCAGATGCACCCAGCCGCAAGGCTAGTGTCCATAAGCATGTGGTCTTCCTGGAGCCTGGCAGGAGAGGACTCAACGGGCGTGTGCAGCTGGCTGTAGCTGAGGACTTCGATCTGAGCAATACCATGGGCCTACGGTTCCTGGCTGGCTCTGAATCTGCTAGCTCCACAGGCTCAGAAGGTCTCATGATGACCTAGGCTGCCCAGTGCCCTCCACTCAGGCCATGACCCTCCTGCTGCTTGCTCTGCTCCTTGCTACCATACAGAGAACTGCCAGGTGTTAGTGGGAAGCATTGTACCTGGTCCTACAGCTTCCTTTGTGGTTCCTACCTGAACCACAATGGCCCTATTCATAGAAAAATCAGAGTCTCTTAATTTCCTCCTGCTCTGCCTAGCATGGGTCCCCAAGGCCCCAGACCCCAGCAAAACCTGCTAGTGTCTGCCTTTCCTGGGACCTCCTACTGTCCCAATGTCCCTTAAGGATGGGGGACCAAGTCCATCTGGAAAAGCTCTTACATTAGAGCCCTAGGAACCCCTTCAGTGGCTGAAGCAGATATGAAGGAGTGATACAGAACAGTCAAAGCACACCACCTTCCCCTTCCCATACCTGGGGCAGGGGTCTCACAGGGGAAATGATGGAGAGCTCAACTCCAGCCCCTGTTCCTGGAGAAAGGAAGAAACATCCTCCCTCTGATGACACAGCACTCCCCAACTACCAGCAGCCAACCTTCTGAAAGCTTCACAACTGCATGCACAGTCTGGTGGGCAGGCATTAGGAAGGAGAACCCCTGGGGACCTGGCTTGAGCCCCAGCCACAGTGGCCCTATTTTCTCTAGCAGTCATTTCAAGGCAAAGTTCATTCCATGGGCTCACAGCACAGCAGTAAAAAGCCTGGCAAGCAAGGCCAAACTGAGAGGGCCCAGATGGAACTTGATGTCCCTGAGGGCAGGAGCCTTTTAATGGCTGGCACTGTTCTCAGCCTAATGGTTTGAGGCGGTGCCCTGGCTTCATATGCACCTCACCACTCCCACTGCAGAGAGGCAGGGAAGGGGTTCTAGGAGCCCCTCAGGTGTGGGGGCTGAGCTACGAGTCCCCATGGCTGTCTTGGACCCTGCTGTTAATGGAATTTTGTAATAAAGGTAATCCATGCTCATTGAGGCCTTCACTGACAGGCAGCATTGTAATGTGCTTGGCTCTTGATCTAGCAGTGTTGCCCTGGCCATCAAAGGATGGTCTGCCCTATACCCCCACTGCTACCTGAGGAATGGCCACAAGCCAGGGCACTTTGTCCTGCTTGGGTCCTTGATTCTTCAACCCAGAGCAGCTGCCACTGTCACCTACTTAAGCAGTTTACATCTCACCACCTTCCCTCTACCTTAAAACCTGATAGTGAGGCCCATTTATAAGATAAGGAAACTGGGGTACAGGGAAGTCCTGCCCAGCTCCCATGGGAGTCTCAAAAACTTACTCTGAGGCTTGACCACGCACCAGGAGCTGTACCAGGATGCCTGTCACTGCCACAAGGATAGGGTAGTGGTCCACACTTTCTAGGCCTAAGGGGAGGGAAGGAAGAAAATGAACCTCCCTCATGCTCCTGTGGCAGAGGCTCCAGGCCTGGCTGATGCCATCAACCCTTCTCTCTGTCCACTCTACAGAAGGGCCAAGCTGGGTTGGGGGTGCTGAGCCTAGCTGTCATGGTGCAGAATAGAGAATCGGGCATCATGCTCCTGGCAGAGGACTCAAGGCCTATTGTGTAGGGGTGCAGGGCATCTAGGTTCTTACCAGGTAGTCGTAGGGTGACCACACGGTCAAACAAGTTCCTCTCAGCTGTCACACGGTTCAGCACCTGATTCAGCAGCTGTGGGGGCAGGAGCCTTTTGTACATGGATAAGCTCACCAGTGGGGTATACCCAGGATCCTACCCTCCTTGCCCTAGATGGACACACCTGTGCAAGACGCCGCAGCAGCATCTCAGAGGTAGGCCGGGCCCAGTCAAGGAATATCTCAGGCACCAGTGTGATGGTCATTTCCAAGACACGCAGCAGGCTGACTGAGAGGTCAAAGCAGGTGGCACATACCTTGAGCTGTCTGCTGTCCACAAAGTTTCGTTCCAGGCGTTCAGCAGCCTGCTGAATCTGTGCAGCCAACAGGTAGGCAAGCAGCAGTCAGAGGCCTGGCTACAACCCAGGTCCACACCTTGGTCCCTTTACCACCCTGGCCCATAGGGCCCCACCATGGCCTACCTCCTGGATCATGCCGATAAACTCAGAGAAAGCCCAGTTGAGTTGGTTGAGGACACTGTTGAGGAAGCTGGGTGCCACATCAGAACCCTGCCGCAGCAGGTCTGCCATGTGCTGCTGCAGCAGGGTAGAGGGGCAGGGTTCTGCAAGCGGATGGGAAGGCACATTATCAAGGACTTCAGGACAGTATTCCTAACTGTTTGCCTTTGTCCTCACCCACTGGTATAAGAACAGAAAGACGGCTCCTGGGAAACATGCAGGTCAGGGTACAGAACTACCTGAGGATTAGAGCTCAACTGTCCCCTCCCTCTCTGGGGCAAACCAAAAGCTGCAGGTGTGTCCAGCCCCATACCACATCATCCACCCTAGGCCTAGGGCAGTTATACAGCTGCAGCCTGACCCCAGCAAGTTCTGAGTCACATGCCCATCAGACAGGGCCAGATATAGAGCAACTTAGACTTTTCCCCACTAGCATTGAGGACAGATTCTCCAAGAATCTACTCTGTGCCCTGCTGTCCTCTACTTTCCTCTGCTGCCCTTGGCCTCGCCTTGACATGTGTCTGAAGTGGTGGGTGCCAAGTCTGGGCTGACAGACAGTGGTAACTAGAGCTCTCAGCTGCAGCTGTCTCAGTATATCTCACCACTCCTCTAGATGCAAATCAATAGTTCCTTCAGCCACAGAAAAGATCTGGCCTCCTTGCTATTCTCCACTTGCAGCTCAGTTCTGCCTTAGAGGCAGGTCTGAGATATTTGGCAAGGACTTGCTGTGTGACTTTGCCTAAGGCATTCAGGCTCTCAGAGGTCATTTTTTCAGACCAAAGCACAGGCTGCAATGGGAAACAGGCATGGTGAGAACAGTGGGTACAGGCTGGTCAGACTAAGACCTTAGGCCAGGTCTAATGAAGGTCCTGTAGCTCAAGAGACTGCAGGACACAGGAGAGAGACCACACATAGGCTCTGCTCCCAACCAAATGCCTCTTACTCCAGGAAGCCCCATGATCATCCCTTGGGGCTCTGGCCAATCTCCAGCCTATGCATATCTTGCCTCAGGGATGCAAGGCCTAAACTAAGCCCTTTGTCTGGCACCAGCAGATACCAAAGGAGCAGAAGCACATAGTGCTGTGACAAGCCTGGAGGTCAAGGAGCTGGCATAGAGGGCAAGGGATAGAGTCTCTACTCCAGCGGCCTGGGTAAAAATGGCACCTTTTCACTGTGACACTTGCAAAGCAACAGGCTCAAAGAATACAAATGGAACCGTGGAGTGAGAGGGAGTAGTCCCAGAGCATCCTTAAACTGGGAAGAAGCAGGAAAAATGCAAGCCCCAAGGGACAAATGGAGTTTGGAGCCAACACAAGTCCAAAAGAGGGGCTGGTAGGAGCAGAAGAGTCTGAAAGAATCCAAGAGCAATGGGAAATCCAAGCTTTTTTGCTCAGGAGGCTGCCAGGCAGAATATGCCCAACCTGGATACTTACTCTGGAGGCTGGGCAAATTGGCATCCTCTGGCTTGGTTTTCAGCAGGTGTGGCAGCCGTGTATAGCGGTACCCGAACCCACAGCCCTGGGGGTGGGGCCAGCTGAGGTCAGTGGGAAAGAGCTACCTTCCCCCCAAAGGCAGCCTCAGCAGCCCCCCTAAGGTCATGCTTACCCTCCAGAGCCGCACTAGGATCCAGTTGGTCTGGGCCCAGGGCCGCTGCTCATAGGGTGCCAGGAGATTCCTCACCATGGCGATACGCCTGTAAGGGTGAGGGGCGGCAGACACATGGTGAGGCAGGGCAAAGTGCTGTGCAGGACAGGGTGTGATTCCCCAACCCCCTACTCACTGATCCTCAGGGATTCTTTCCACAGCCCGCAGAGAGTGTGGGTAGCACACGTAGCTGGCCAAGGCCTGCATCAGTGAGTCTCGAATGTCTGCCACAACAGGCCATGCCTTAGCAGGTGCCCAGCATAAGCCCTATCCCCATGCCACAATATACACAGAAAACAGCCCACCAGAGGTGCCATCCCATCCCCACCTCCCTGGGCCCTCTGCAGGACACCTCACCAGTGCCTACTATGCGTGTGTCAGCAAAGTGTTTGGCAAGGATGGCAGCCAGGCGAGTCAGGGTCTCTTCATAGCCTGCAAGGGTGGGCAGAGAAAACCACTGGCTGGGAGCAGGGGCTCCAGAGACAGACATGACCCTTGGCAGAGTGGGTGGGCTTGGATAGTAGGCTCCAGAGCTAGCTCCAAAAGCCAATCTGGACCTGGGTTGGCACCTGGGGACATTGGGTAGAGCACTCAAACTAGCAGTTGGGGAAGGTAAGGCACAGACTCACTGTGGGGGGAGGGCCTAATCTGGACTCAAACTCATCTTAACACACCCATTTGTTGACTCAGCAATCAAAGTCACTGGACACTCACAATTGTGTCTTTGAAGACAAAGCCTGCACCAAGGCCTGGGCAGGGCAGGGTTGGGGCCTGGCAGCTCACACAGCCTGATCCAGAAACCAAATGCCAGGCCCAGCCTAGAATCAGTATCTTGGAGAAGCACAGGATCCTCTGTGGCTATAGCAGGGCCCCACCTCCTGCTATAATTTACAAAGATAGTCTGCCCTTGACCCACTGCCACATACTGTGACTAGCGTCAGGGTGCTTGGGTGAGGGGCCACAAGGCTGCTCAATAGCATCAGGAAGAAGAAACCAGGGGTCCCACTGCACCATCTATTTTCCCTCCAGTAGCAGGGAGAAGCAGATTCCAAGGCAGAGTGTAAATGTGAACTTGATACAGGGAGGACCATGGGATAGAACCAACCTTCCCTCTGTCCTGTGGATGTATGCTGCAAGGCCACATATGGCTCAGATCAGGGCTCCTGAGAGTCACACTAAAGGCCCCTTTCTATCCCCTCCCAGCCTGAATGGTCCCATCACCTGGGAGCTCCTCCATGCTGTGCACAGGACCAAAATAATTCTTGAGAGCACTGTAGCTGTTGATGGCCACACTCAGGTAGAACTCAGGCATGAAGGCAAAGAGAGAACCTGTGCGATCACCATGCTCAATGGTCCGTAGGCAGACACGCAGTAGCCAGTAAATGTCTAGCATTTTCTCCTGCAGGAGGCGTACAGGGTGTTAGGTTTTTTACTGGAAGGGTCCTGGATACATTATCTGGTCTGGGAATTGGTAATGCCTCACTAGGACAATGACATCAGAAGTGAGAGCTGGACTGCAGAAATGTGAGCAGTGGCTCAAGCAGGGGTGATCAAGTCGTCAGTAGGGCAAGAGGAAAGCATCCAAACTGGAGAGTGCAGCACTATGACCCTGACAGGAATTCTGGTTTGCTAGAGGATGATATGACCAAGTCTGAGTTGAAGCACTGCCCAGTGCACAAAGGGGCTGCAGGGACAAGTGGGGACAGCTTAATGAGGATACCAGTCTTGCGCAGGTCCAAAATGGTAGAGAAAATGACTGCATGACAAGGGGAATGGACTAATAAAATACGGAAGCAAAGGACATGTCACACCAAGAATGGGACCCACACATCTGGTGGTAGTAGAGCCTCCATGGAGGTCAAAAGTACTAGAGGAGAAGCAGGTCTGGTGCAGAGCACAGGGGAGTGTGGTTTAGGAGAAAAGGAGCATGAGGCACCTGGTGGTGTCCCGAAAGAAATTATGTAAAGAGGCAAGTAAATTTTGGTCTGGAGATCAAAGGAGAAAAAGTGGGGAGCAACATAACTGCTAGTGGAAGAGTGGCCACAGAAAAGAGATGAAACCTGCTGAGGGCACTGTTCCCCACAATGTGGCTCCCATAAGTCTGTGTTAGGATCATAGGAAGGGACATAGGCCAGAATGAGGCCCCCAGCCCCAGCTCAGACCATAGCAAATACACCTCTTAGAGTGGAACTACAGTATCTGCACTTGATACCAGCTCTCTGAGGTGCTCCAAAACCCAACAACCCAAGGAG